CAATCCAACGGACCAAGCATTCCAGGAAACCCTCTCTTAAGCCCTTCGTCGAGCAACCGCCTTAAGTTGTCCCTATTTCCCCATATTCTCCAATTGCGTCAGTGGGGGTATCGTATACGAATTGCCGAATAGCTGCCGTGCTGTTAAAATAGTCGCGCAAATAACAACGACCGTTACGTTTTTTCTTGATAATTGGCTGCTAATTTGGTAAAAAGGACCAATGACATACTAATGTTAGTAATGACAAACAACTTTAAAAATCAAAGTGCACCTGACATCACAAATCTGTTGTAGAACTATGATACTATTCAACTGCACCTTGTTTCAGCTTAGCTTAAATTAATGTTATCACAACTTGTGCTTAGTTAAATATCTATAAAATATCAAACGTTGTAATTGAGTAAATGAAATGTAAATTTTATTGCTTCAGTGAAGCTTATTAAACTCACAATAGAATGGATCAAAGCGTATATAAGGACTGAATCGAAAATAAATCGTAAGCAAATTTTTCTTTCGAAATGCATAAGAGATATTGTGAAATTAAAAAAGGTTCTTCAATTATTTGTCATGCCCTTCATAAGAAGGTAAATTCTCACAAACAAATAAAAACATTTCTATTAAGTACTTTTATGATCTTAGATTTTGGTCTTCTCGTAAATTTTGGATTTCAGATTCTGAATGAAAATTGCAAAGAGTAGTGTTGCTCGGGATTTTATTTTGCTGGGTCTAAGTAAAAATCATGCCGAGATTCAGCTTTTAACCGAGACTATTGCTGAGATCTCATAGATAAACACACTAGCTCAGAGAGTCGTTTTTACTCAGTTGTGAGCAGCGTTGCCAGGTCATTTTCAGAAAAATCTGGACCAGTTAAAATATAAAATCTGGAAAAATCTGGAATGCTCCAAAAAATCTTGTTTTTAACAAAATGCTATTGAAATCAAAGTGATCTGCCGATCTCCCGTAAAAATCGGTCAGTATGATCATCTGGAATTTATTCAAAGTACCAGAATTTTTATGAATTCCATGTTTAAAAAAATATATAAAATTATATAAAGCAAACTTATTAGCACTGCTAAAATCATCTTAAAGTTAAGAAAAAGTATTGACACAGTGTACCCATAAAGTTTAAATATCCATTACGCAGTATTCCAAAATGAGTTAAATTGTTGGTAAAATACTGCAGAAAATATTCTTAAGATTCTGAAGCAGCAAAGAATCAAGCAACTTTGATGGGACGATTTTTTTAAACAAATAGTCGATTTAGTCCTTACTATTTGATGCAGTATCTTGATATGTCTTAATGATTTTTTAAGTTCTAAATAATTCTAATATTACCCTAAGGTTAATCAGACTTAAAATTTAATTCTTGACATCATACAATATACAACACCCAGTAGACCAGTAAGCAATTTTATTTTAAACTAAAATTCTCCTGGCTGAAGTGAGAATCAAAGCCTACCATCGTGGTACTCACACACAGTTTACCTAAACTACGGGTAACTCCACATGACCATTACAGATAATTTTATGCCAAAGAATAATTTTAGTATATAACTAAAATGCAATTCTGAAAGCGTCATTTTTGAAGTCTCAGGATCTATAAATGATTCTAAATTCTGGAATTTATAATTTTCCTAGGTCCCAGATCATTAAATTTTTGGTTAGTCTGAATTTACTTGGAACATTTCACAGAATATCTTCGTCTTTTTTTCAGAGTTCAGTTTGAATCATCCTAGAATTTCATCATACTTCTTTTCTGGATTCCCTTAAACCAATCTTGATAATATCCAAACTTTTTCAGTAATATGCTAAGAGTGCTTAGCATTATCTCTTGTAATCTCTTATAAATCGCTCCCTCATTCCACAATTCCCTCAAACTGGTAATAATTTCCAAGAATTGGCAAAATTTTATCTCAATTTTTCTCTATGAAATTCCCTTGGAATATTCTTTATAATGTCCTTGGTATGCTCTTCAGAATGCCCGTCACATTCTTCTCAGACTTATTCTTTGAACTGCTTTGTAGGTAAGATCTGAATTGTTTTGAAATCCTCTTCAGTATTTCCTAAGCTCTCAAGCACTTTGCCAAAATGGCCTTGAAAGTCTTCCAGAAATTGCCAGATTTCTTAAAATTTGATAAAAATTAATCTCCATAGAAACATTGGACAAAATTCCATTGAAATTATTCTCCCGATTCGGATCAGCATTCTTCTTAAATTTCATCTTAAGAATTTCTATGATTTCTCTTCTGACTTTAACAATTTCCTTTCTTCACAAAATCTCCATGTAATTGTCATCTGAGCTTGTAAAAGACAATTGACACTGTTTTCAACCAAAGGTTGCACAGGCTGCATACTCACACTTCACTGTAAACTATTTTCAGAATTATTTACAATTCTGAAATCTAAGGCAAATCAGAATTCTAAAGTATTTCAGACTGCTAAGGTAACTCAATATTCATAGGTACTTTAATAAAAAATGCTAATAATTATCAGATTCTGAATCATCAGTCCTGGTGGATGTCTAGATGCAAAAGCCGTACCTATTTTTTAAAGCTCAATTTATTGTTTTCAATCCTGAACAGTTTTCGATTTCTTAAAATTCCAAAATTAGGAAAATTCCTCCATACTAAAATTTTTATTTTTATGAATCCAGAATTCAAAAAAAAAATTATAGCCAACATCTAAACAAAAACTCCAAATAAAAAAAAGTCCTGGCTCATTTTTTTTTTTAAATTTGAAGATTTTTTTCAGCCAATAATCTTTAGACAATGTCTATTTTCATTATTCTGTAACCCATTGCAAACATGTTGTAACAATTCCATGTTTGACGTTGCAATAATGTCCAACCTGGATGGCCTTTAGTAATTGAAGTAGTAAGTTTGGCTTTTTATTTATTGAAGCAACACATCCTAAAAATCTGGGAAAATCTGGAATATATTTAAAAAGTCTGGAAATAAACGTGATCTGTCTGTGTATCTGGCACGACGACTGAAAATCTGGAAAATCCAGATAAATCTGGAATACTGGCAACGCTGGTTGTGAGTCACTTTTACTCATTTGTATGGAGAAATTTATAAAAGCGTAGGTCACTCACCGCATGAGTAGATTACGTTTTTAAAAATTTCTAAATACGAATGAGTAAAAGTGACTCACCCTCTGAGTAAGATTCGTGTTCATTGTACCTAGCTAGTCAGCGGTGTCAATCTCGACCATCAAATCAATGTATGTACAACTTTAAAATGTTGTTAGCTTTTAACCGATTAACCGTAAAAATGGTTTATTATGAAATGTGACAATATTGCATAACACCGACGAATTATCTATCTGAGCCAATTTGCCATAGACCACAATCTTCTAACTAATGAAGATGTTAATTTAAAGCAAATAATAGGTAGCCAAATAGCACTATTGTGCCGCTCAACTGAACTGTTCTCCATTTAATAGGCCGTGTCCCTGTGAACAAGGTGTTGTGACTGGACCGAGGTTTCCAACGTTGGCCACGGCTACACGAAGTAATGGTGCAGCTCCCATGGCTGCGGCGGCTGCTGCTGCAGTTCCTTCTCCTTCAAAATTCCTTACAAGAATTCGTTACAAGAATTCGTTATTCCACACTAACTCTATTTACTACACATGGTACCTTTCCATTTAACGGGAATTTATATATTGGATCGAGTAATTCAAGCTGCCCTTCAAATACGTCTAAGGGTGTATCGAATGTCCTCCGTGACATCCGCAAACGAACTGGCACAAATCATACTGGTACGCTCTTTTGTACACACTACGAAAAAGACATGTTAATTTCTGTGCCCTGAGACCGACACATGCAAGCGGCCCTTTTGACATAATAATCAGTTGAAAAGGACTGCAAAAGGATTGCATATGTTTCAGTTTCAGGGCACTTAATTTTACATGCCATGTTTGTCTACGTTCCATGATTTACGTCAAAGCTGAATTACGTCTCGTGTAAAAATAATAATTTATAAGTATGTAGCCTCGCGCAATCGATTCGTCTCTCTGTTATTTCGATAGTCATAGCGAGCGAGCACGTGAATTGTTGATTACGACCAAAAAGTTTGATAAATTTTCAATAGTTAACCATCGATAAACAATTATGATCTTTATGCCAAACAAATCTTACGTCCAAACTGAATCAAATGGTGTAATTAAGATTGAAATTCATTCATAAATGACCATGTTGTAAGCGTTCAAAACCAGACACTATTTGGCCACACTTTGTTTTTGATTTGCACCCCAGTACAGTCCACAAAGACGAAGACCTACGTCAAAAAACCACAGCTTAAATACTATAAAAACTACCTAAACACGTTAATATTCTTTCTGACTCTCTGCTTGACCGTCTAGCAGTACAGTTCGATTTTTTAGGTAAAAAGGTAAATTAATCATTAAACAATGACGATGTTCCTTGATAAGTAAAAAAAATCTCCTTAAAATAGATCGGGTTGCTTAAATGATTGATCAAAATACGTTAAAAATCTTAAAATGCTCAGTAAATATTTAAAATACGCTCCCTAAAATAGAGAAACTGTACATTAAGCATTTGAAAATGCTCCTTAGTATGCACCGCTTTGCACCATTTTGAAGTGTAATTGTACCATAGATCATCGGAAAAAGCTGCTATAGAAAGGTTAATAAGTACCATGAAATCAGCTGAAATGTTCAGTAAAAATGCACAAATGCACACAATGATTTACTGAACATTTCAGCTGATTTCATGGTACTTTTTAACCTTTCTACAGCAGCTTCTCCCATGATATATGGTACAATTACACTTCAAAATGGTGCAAAGCGGTGCATACTAAAGAGCATTTTCAAATGCTTAATATGTTTATGTCAGCAAAATAGTAAAAAAACTGATTTTAAGGTAGTCCTCACAAGAATTCATGTATATTTTGCTAGACTTATGACGTAGAAACTTGACATCTTCGGCAAAGTTTCATGAAATTCATAGTTCTACAACTTTGTACAAAATATAATAATATTTTCTTGTGATTTCAAAAAGTTAGTTTTGCGAAGTCTAATACCACCTTCATAAAAATATATTTGTGGATATTTTAATTTTCAACTAGCAATAATCGCACCTCGGTTGTACCTCATTGGTTGCGATATCACCAGTACGATGGATATTGGATGGGTATTATAGAAGATGCAGAAGAACAAGAACAAGAAAGAAACTTCTTCGAAGACATGAGAAAAGCGTTTCGACAGTCTTTTTTTTCCAGAATGGTCCCACTGTGAGCCGTCGAGACGTTGCTGTAGTAGTAAAACGTGGAGTAGACGCTCAAGGTGGTCTTGCATCGCCTTTCCAGCATGGTGATTTTGGAATGGAACGAGAAACTGCCACATGGCAAGCACCACGCACCTGAAGCCTGCGAGCTAATTGAGGACGCAGATCCTAAATGTGCCAATTGCAACCAGCAAGACATGCCCGAAGCGAGCGAAATTCATTGCTATCCGCAATAAAGCCTCTGCGCAGAATTTAACCTGGCCGCAGAAGGGTGCCAAAAGAAAAAAAAACTGGCAGAACTTTCCACTCATCAACCGTTTTGCTGCTGCTGTATTGGTCCCGCCAACAGCTTGGATGCCTAACATTCCGGCAAACTCAAATCATATGCGGCAACCGCTGAATCCCGAAGCACCTCCCCCTTCATCAACGATCGAGAACGTGACGGAAGTCATCATGATTCAGCGCACCTGCAGGACCCGAACATATCAGCTTCATGCTGCCGTATCCCTCATCAACAAGTATAAACCATCGAAATTGATAATTGGAATGCTTGCTCGCTCATCGAACAAAACATCGATATCGCCATCATCACCGAATCGCACCTGAAGCCCGAGATTAACGTCTTCCTTCCCGATCTCCGGCTTGTGAGGCTGCATCGATCGAGCTCCGGAGGAGAAGGAGGAGGAGTGACCATCGCTCTAAAGAGGAACATCGGCTGCCGATAATCGAAGCCGTGGAGCAACAGACGATGCAACCAAAATTACACCATCCTGTACAATGACCTGCATGAAGCGCAGTACAACATCTTGAGTCCGGACATTCCCACCCGATTGAGTAGGTCCAGTGCACATGCCACAATCGACATCTACATCAACAACTTGGTCAACAACATCTCACAACCTGTGGTTTACCAAGAACTCCGCTCGAACCGCCATCCGGTGGTGGACGAAGTAGGTTCCTCCGTGAACCGATTCGAAGCTTCCCGACGCAACTATCACTGTACTTTGACCTTGACCTTCAGCCGAAAACGACCGACGACATTGACCAGTGTCTGAGCTCTATCTATGAAGTGATTTCCCGGGCCAGTTTCCAGACAGGTGAGTAATCCTCTGAACCTTGACAGGCCCACCAAAGATCTCATTAGACTCCGCAACACAATTCCTAGGCAGTACCAGCTTACTGGTCTGCCTGATCTGAAGACCAATTGCAACCATTTAAACCAAATCATCCAAGCCAGGATGCTTGATCTCAGGAATAACTATTTTGCAAACAAGTTTCGCTCACTCCTAGATTGTACTAAGCCGTTCTGGAAAATAGCAAAAAATTTTAAAAATAAGCCGAGGCCCGCTTTCCCCTCCTAATCAGAATTCAGATTCATCCTTACTCTACTTACCAGTGAATTCACATAACCTTGGCCAAGCCATGGTGAGTCCCCACGAGCCTGCAGTATCGAAGGAAATATCTAGAGTCGCTGCCACCGCCGTAGTTATCCTTGATGAAAGTAGAATATCGACTGATGAGGTGGTGGCAGCCATTAAATCAACCAAGAACATGAAGACCGCTGGTGTCGATGAAGTGGTCAACCTCGAGTTGAAAAACTTGAGTGTTGACTTCTTCAAACACCTTGCAGCGGTCTTCAATAAGTGTTTGGTGCTTGGCTACTTCCCTGCATGGAAGTCAGCCAAAGTCAATCCAATCCACAAGCCTGGCAATGACCCTACCAGTACCAAAAGCTATCGCCTCTTGTCCTCAATGTTGAAGCTATTCGAAAAAGTGATACTCAGCCGTCTGCTTGCATTTTCAAATGACAATAACATCTTTCTCAAAGAGCAATTCGGGTTTAGGAAAGGCCACTCTACCATCCACCAACACGCACTGGCTACTAACATCATCAAGCGGAACAAGTCCGTTTCCCACACATCTGCCATCCCAAGTAACATTGCAAGTTTATCGCGGTTTTATAGTATTCTACAAGTCTAAATCATGGTCTACAGAACCCTCATAAAACCAAAATTGTTACTTGGGGTGGTATTGTTGGACGTTGAGAAGGCGTTCGACAAAGTCTGGCATGATGGCCTAGTACATCGAAAGAACTTCCTGATCTTCCTTGTTAATATCATCAAAAACTACTTGTCGGTCAAATCATTCTAGGTCTTCTTGAACAATTCTCCATCTGATACGTTCAACGTTGATGCTGGGGTTCTTATGGAGAGCCTCCTTGGTTCTTTCCACTTCAACATCTTCACGTCAGATGTTCCTCCCCTTCCAGGTAGTGGTATTTTGTCAATGTATTCGGATGACACTGCCATGATCAATAAGGATCGAGTGATCCGTGCTCTGACGAGAAAACTCCAATCAGGCCTGTCCGACTATTTCAAAAGCTGGAAAATTTGTATAAATACAGCTAAGACACAGACTATTTCCGCACTCCAATTCGCTTCGGCTTGTGCCTGTTAATTTCTGTTCCCTGGACTCATGACCGTGATATCTTTCACTGTCCCTGACACGACACGTTTGCTGGTTGAAATGCAATTAATTTATTCTATTACATAAATTTCATACTGAGTCTTAATTAGATACACTTGATGCACCGAGTATATAAACTGCTATTTACTCGGACACTGATAGCGATCAGTGCCATGCTAAAAAGGAAAAGGAAGAGTATCCGAAAGCCATGACTGTACACATGGTAACAGCATGTATCAAGAGTTTGTCATAAATGCTGAGTAGGTTTGAACAAGCATTAAACTGAAAGTTTAATGCCGGGTGTGATTTAGCTATGCAGCATATTCCCACAAGTGTGGTCTGCTAAAAGTGCATGAAGGAAAAATAGCAATGACATGTGGTATGCACATGTCACATGCCGCCTGGTAAATTTAAAGTCCACCTTCATAACACTCCCATTGAATGGTCGAGTGAAGTCGTGTACCTTGGTCTCACCGTTGATAGCAAGTTGTTATTCCGTTCCCAAGTGGACAAAATATCCACCAAGTGCAACATCTTGATTAGGTTGCTTTACCCACTTATCAACAGAAAATCCACCCTTTCCATTAAAAACAAGCTTGCCGTCCTAAAGCAAATCATCTTCCTTGCCATTGAGTACAGAACGCCCATCTGGGAGAGCTGTGCTAAGTGCCATCACCTCAATCTTCAAAGATCCAGAACAATATCTTGAGGATGATCCTCAACAGCCCCCGCGGACTCAAAATTCTGAGATCCATCGCCTGGCTGGTCTTCAGAAACGCTCCATACGGAATTCCGCCTTTCCATCAAACCAGGTATGAAAGATGATGATGATGACTCTTACCCCTAAAAAGGTTTGAGCTGGACGATTTATCTTTAAGATAATTAAATGTTAACATTTTAACCAGGTTAGCAAAAAAACGAGCTGCTTACATTTACAGATATAAATTCCCTCTAGAGTTTACAGTTGCTTCACAGTGATATAAATATGAAAAAGCTTAGGCATCAACGTCTTAGTTCGCCTTATTGTCCACCTAAAATATTCATAAGTATTACAAGCGATCAAGAGTTAATGAACAATCAACAAAGTATCCTATTACCACAGACAAACAGACATAAAACTCGCAAGTTGTTCATCGAACAAGCATTTAACGGTCAATTTAAAAGTATCGTGGTTGGTAGTACCGCCACCTGTGGCGCGCATAGTCAATTCCTTTGCGTTTGACGTTTACATACTACCGCCATCTGTCCAGCGTACTACCCACCACAGTGTACTCAATAGATGGCAGTAGTGTTTTAGCGACGATGTTTCACAGTGAGAAATATTCAATGTGTTATGTCTATTTGTCTGTGCTATTACACTAGCAACCCCGCAATCTGATGCTATCATAATTATCAGCAATGTAAGGAATGCTCATGAACCCCCAACATTTGCCAGAAAACTTACTACTAACTCAAGGTATCTTCCAAATAAGCTTCAAAATTGCATTTTTTTTTTCAAATGTTAAATTCAGTCCTCTATATCCGTAATACGCGCGCGAGGCTCAAACCTTTGTAGACTACTTTTTTTTAATTAATCTACTTTTAAATCAAATATTAAAACTCCACCATCACCCTCATGGCGAGCAGAAATAGTTTTTGCAGTGCTACAATGATTATTAAAAAGTCGTTATAACAGTTATCCATACAGAAATAATCCGTTAAAAAAAAACTTCGTCAAGATACATAATTTGTCAATTCATAAAAAAATCACTGGATAACCATTCAAAAGACAGTTTTAACGTGTAAAATGCAATGTCTCTTAAATTCTGCTAATGTTGTTGCACGTTTAATGTGTCTAGGCATCGAATTGAAAACATTTATTCCTTTAAAAAATAATGAATTCTGTAAAGCACAAGTCAAGAAATGTGGTGTTCTTATTTCATCCGCGTTTCAGATTGCTTTCAATACCATTTTTCACATCACTTACGTTTGCTCCTGTTGCACACTCAACAATAATGGAACCATCTTTACCATTCCTAAAATTACTGATTTTGTGTGTTTTTGGATCCAACTGAGTTTTCAAAAACTTACGAGTATCTTCGCAAGGTTGTTTGGACTCTTTCGGTTTAATCACAATGACCGGACGAGTCTTACGATTATCTGGTTTGTTACTTTTACTGTTATTGTTACTATTAGTTTTACTTTGACTAGACATAGTCGTGCTTTTTACAACGTCCGCAAAACTCGCATTTTCTTGAAAAACAACATCATCATCATGATCACTATTACTAATTACTAATTTATGTTTTTGCGATTGGTTTTTGGTCCGATTCTGACTGAATCGTCCTAGATGAACTGGGCTGATCATTCTTTACAGCTACTTGGTTTTCCGCATCAATTTTAAAAAATTAACTTTTCGTATTATCCAATTTCTCACAAATTAAATTTTCAAG